CACCTACCTCACAGGCAGTGCTCCCTCTCAGCTGAGTTAGTGTGAGCGAGCTCACAGCTTTTTAGCCTCCGGCTCACACACTGTTGTCTTAGCTCAGGAAGGATGGCTCCAGAGCAAACTAATTTATGCAGCAGCCAAATTGCTCACTCACAACTTTAATGCCAGCAGCTCGCAAACTAGAATTTTTGCTCACAAGACCCCACACATTGCTCACAGGCAATGCTCCCTCTAAGCTGTGGAGTCTTGTGAGCAAAAATTCTACCTTGTGAGCTGCTGGCATTAAAGTTGTGAGCCAGTGATTTGGCCGCTGCAGAAATCAGTTTGCTCTGGAGCCGTCCTCCCTGAGCTAAGACAAAAATGTGTGAGCCGGAGGCTAAAAAACAGTGAGCTAGCTCACACTGACTCAGCTTAGAGGGAACACTGCTCACAGGGTGTCTGTTGTGGGGAGGGGAAGGAGTTTGTGAGCCGCTCTGAGACTCCTTCGAGTAGTGAAGGGCGGGGTATAAATCCAATCTCAATCTCCTCCTCCTTCATAACTTAGCTCTGATATAGCATTTCAGACCACTCCGGATACATTCCCCTTACAATTCTTACAATAACTCTGTAGAATCGGTCAATACTGTTGCGCCATATTCCAGATGGAATGCCAGGTGGGAAAGCGATCAGAGCTTCTGTTCGGCCACCTGGTGAATCCGTGGCAGGGGAGAAGAATCCCCATTTACGGCTCAGTTCCCTGTGCCATAACATTATACAGATAGCTGAGACTTTAGCCAATGGTTTCCCCGGTTCTCTGATTCTGCAGAAGCGCCATTTTCTAATAAAATTACTACAAAAAGCAGACTGGAAACCAAGCAAATATTTACCGGGGCAGTGGACATGGACTTTAACGCTTCCAGGGAGGGACTGAGATTAACCTTCGACCCGACTAAAGAAATAAACAGGAACTCCGTCCTCGCTGCTCCCGTCTCTCCCCACCCTCGACAGCACCCACGCCAGATATAATTTTCAAGATATTAAGTCCAAGTTGTAAAAACTTACAGGTGGTACTCAGACCTGATGTTTAGGCTCCTAGTGATGAGCCGTTCTTAGATGAAGCCTATCATTATACAGATGTTGTGCTTCAGGTAATTACTGTAGCTCAACCAGACTTCTTATATTGCGCTACCCTCCTTTTCCATCAAAACTGGCTTAAGAACATAAGAACATAAGAGAAGCCAATGTTAGATTAGGCCAATGGCCCATCCAGTCCAACACTCTGTCACACAGTAGCCAAAAATAGCAGGGGCCATCAGGAGGTCCAGCAGTGGGGCCAGGACACTAGAAGCCCTCCCACTGTTGCCCCCCCCCCAGCACCAAGAACACAGCGCACCACTTCCGCCAGACTGAAAGTCCCTATCTATACCTTGTGGCTAATAGCCACTGATGGACCTCTTCTCCATATGCTTATCTAATTCCCTTTTGAAGTCGTCCATGCTTGTAGCCGCCACCCCCTCCTGTGGCAGTGAATTCCATGTGTTAATCACTCTTTGGGTGAAGAAGGACTGCCTTTTATCCATTCTAACCCGACTGCTCAGCAATTTCATGGAGTGCCCACGAGTTCTTGTATTGTGAGAAAGGGAGAAAAGTACTTCTTTCTCTACCTGCTCTATCCCGTGCATAATCTTGTAAACCTCAATCCTGTCCCCCCTCAGCCGTCATTTCTCCAAGCTAAAGAGCCCCAAGTGCTTCAACCTTTCTTCTCAGGAAAACTGTTCCGACCCTTTGATCATTCTAGTTGCCCTTTTCTGCGTTTTTCCCAAGGCTATAATATCCTTTTTGAGGTGTGGTGACCAGAACTGCACACAATACTCCAAATGAGGTCGCACCAGTGATCTATACAGGGGCATGATGATACTGGCTGATTTCCAAAACAGCACCGGAGGGGGAGCTTTTAAAAGCCCACAACATGAGCAGCGTTAAATGCAAACACTCCACAGGGAGAAAGTCATTTTATTCATTGCTAATGTTTGCAGGGTGAGGCCTTGATGACTGGTGCAGCTCTTGGCTCTGCATGCGGAAGGTCCCAAGTTCAATCCCCGGCGTCCTCCCCTCAAAACAGGTGATGCAAAAGATCTCGACAACCCCAAACCCTGAACAGACAGTACTGTGCCACATGACTCAATGGACTGACTCAGTATAAGGCAGCTTTATATGTTCTTGCATATAAAACTGAACAGAAAGGGGCCATGGCAGAGCACCTGCTTGGCATGCAGATTACCAATGTTCCCTCTAAGCTGGGTTGGTGTGAGCTAGCTCACAGTTTTTTACCCTCCGGCTCACACATTTTTGTCTTCGCTGAGGGAGGAGGGCTTCAGAGCAAACTAATTTATGCAGCAGCCAAATCGCTCGCTCACAACTTTGATGCCCGTAGCTCAGAAAGTAGAATTTTTGCTCACAAGACTCCACAGCTTAGAGTCAGCATTACAGATGACCCCAGGTTCAGTCCCTGGCATACCTGGTCGGAAGGGCCAAGCAGGAGGAAATGTTAAAGACAACCACCTACGAACCTATCCCTGGAGAGCCGTTGCCAATCGGAGACAACAGCTGACCAGGACAGACCAAGAACCTGAACGCCTTGCCAAGCGGGGAGTGAAAGCCAGAGTAATAGCACTGCAACTGAATGAGACAATGACAACATAAGAGGCTGTTTTAAACAGGGTTGCCAACTCCAGGATGGGAAATTCCTAAAGATTTGGGGGTACAGCCTGGGGAGGGCAGGGTTTGGGGAGAGGGTTTGGGAGTAAACAGTGGGAGCTAAAGCAGAGCTAAGGTATAGAGCCCCCCCCCCCAAAAAAGCAGCCATTTCTTCCAAGGTCACCTGGATCTTAGTCATCTAAAGGTGCTGCGTGGAGGTTGGCTTGTGTTGATTTGGGGCTATGAAGTGGCAACTAAGGTAGAGCTAAGGCAGGTCTAAGGCAGAGTCCGTCCGTCCCCTTCCAAAGCAGCCATTTCCTCCAGGGTCATCTGGAGATCAGTTGCAATAGCTGAGGCCTGGGGGATGGCTTATTAGATTTAGAGGGGACATGATTGCAGTCTTCAAGTATTTGAAGGGCTGTCATGTAGAAGATGGAGCGAATCTCTTCTCTCTTGCTCCGGATGGCAAGACTAGGTCTAACGGGTGGAAATGACAAGGGAGTCGATACCGGCTAAATATCAGGAGAGACTTCCTAACTGTGAGAGTGGTTGAGCAGTGGAACGGACTGCCTCGGGAGGTGGTGGACGTTTCCAAGCGGAGGCTGGACAACCATCTTCCGGGTATGTTGTAGGGCTATCTTTCGGCTGTGCTCCTGCAAAGTGCAGGGGGCTGGACTAGATGATCTGCAAGGCCCCTTCCGACTCTAACATTCTGTGATTCTATAATTTGGGGGTATGCGGTGGCAGCTAAGGCAGATCTAAGGCAGAGTCGAGATCTCCGAGTAAGGCCTGGAGGATGGCTTATGTTGATTTAGGGCTATGCAATGGCAACTAAAGCAGATCTAAGACATAGAGTGGTCCCCCCCCTTCCAAAGCAGCCAATACCTCCAGGGTCACCTGGATCTTGGTCATCTCCAGGTGAGGCCTGGAGGATGACTTGTGTTGATTTGGGGCTATGCAGTGGCAGCTAAGGCAGGTCTAAGGTACAGAGTTCCCCCGTTCCAAAGCAGCCATTTCCTCCAGGGGGACTGATCTCGGTCATCTGGAGATCAGTTGTCACAGCTGGAGATCTCCAGGTGAGGCCTGGAGGATGACTTGTGTTGATTTGGGGCTATGCAGTGGCAGCTAAGGTAGAGCTAAGGCAGATCTAAGACAGAGTCGTCGTCCCTTTCCAAAGCAGCCATTTCCTCCAGGGGGACTGATCTTGGTCACCTGGAGATCAATTGTAATAGCTGAAGATCTCCGAGAAAGGCCTGGAGGATGGCTTGTGTTGATTTAGGGCTATACGATGGGAACTAAAGCAGATCTAAGGTATAGAGTGGTCCCCCCCCCTTCCAAAACAGCCATTTCCTCCAGGGTCACCTGGATCTTGGTCATCTCCAGGTGAGGCCTGGAGGATGGCTTGTGTTGATTTGGAGCTATTCAGTGGCAGCTAAGGCAGAGCTAAGGTACAGAGTTCCCCCGTTACAAAGCAGCCATTTCCTCCAGGGGGACTGATCTCGGTCATCTCCAGCTGAGACCTGGAGAATGGCTTGTGTTGATTTGGAGCTATTCAGTGGCAGCTAAGGCAGAGCTAAGGCAGATCTAAGGCAGAGTCGTCGTCCCTTTCCAAAGCAGCCATTTCCTCCAGGGGGAACTAAATCTCCATCACCTGGAGATCAATTGCAATAGCTGAAGATCTCCAAGTAAGGCCTGGAGGATGGCTTGTGTTGATTTAGGGCCATGCGATGCCAACTAAAGCAGATCTAAGGTATAGAGTGGTCCCCCCCCCTTCCAAAACAGCCATTTCCTCCAGGGTCACCTGGATCTTGGTCATCTCCAGGTGAGGCCTGGAGGATGACTTGTGTTGATTTGGGGCTATGCAGTGGCAGCTAAGGCCGAGCTAAGGCAGATCTAAAGCAGAGTCCGTCCGTCCCCTTCCAAAGCAGCCATTTCCTCCAGGGGGACTGATCTCAGTCATCTGGAGATAAGTTGTAATAGCTGGAGATCTAAAGCCGAGCTAAGGTACAGAGTGGTTCTCCCCCCCCCCCTTCCAAAGCAGCCATTTCCTCCAGGGTCACCTGGATCTTGGTCATCTCCAGGTGCTGCCTGGAGGATGGCTTGTGTTGATGTGGGGCTACGCAGTGGCAGCTAAGGCAGAGCTAAGGCAGGCCTAAGGTATAGGGTTCCCCCCCCCCCTTCCAAAGCAGCCCTTTCCTCCAGGGGGGACCGAAATCTCCGTCGCCTGGAGACCGACTGCAACGGCAGGAAAGGGCCCGGCCCCCGCCTGGAGGTTGGCAACCCCGGCGCCTCCACGCCCCCCACCCTGCCCGCCCTCAGGGACTCACCGGAAGCGCCCCCCGCAGTGCTGGCACTGGTCGCCCACCCAGCCGGGCTGGCACTCGCACTGGCCGGTGCCGGGCTGGCAGCGCCCCCCGTTGGCGCAGGGCTTGCTGCACTCCTTCGCCTCGGCCGAGGCGGCCGCCGGAGCCGGCAGGAAGGCGGCGGCGGCGCCCAGCAGCAGCAGCAACAGGAGCGGCAAAGCGGCGGCGCCCGTCGGCATCCGCTCCGTCCGCGGCCGCCTCCGTCCGCCTGGCTCCATCGCCTCCGCTCGACGCTGCCCGGGCGGCTCTTCGGAGAGGCTCGGCGGTCAGTCCGCCGCGGCTGGCGAACGGACGGTGGCCGGCGAGGGCTCTGGCGCGGCCTCCCGGGAGCGACGGTGGCCGCGGAGGCTCATTCCTCCTCCTCCTCCTCCTCCAAGCCCCGCTTCCCTTTTCCTCCCCGCCCCCTCACAAAGAAGGGGGGAAAGGCCGTCGCGCCGCCCGGGCGCGTCCGCCGCTGATGACGTACGACCCCGATCAGAAGGGCGAGCGGGCGTCCATAGAGACCGGCGGGGGGAGCCAGAGCGGAACGCAAGGACCCGTCGCGCCTGCCTGTCTGTCCGCAGACGGAGGACCATAGAGGAGGGGAGAGGGCGGGGAAGGGAGGGGGGTGTGCCTGTATCCAGGGTGACCGCCGGAGTGGGCGGGGAAGGGGCGTGGCCTGAGGCTGCCGGGTTTAGAGATGTGAAGGTTTCCCCCCCCCCCAAGCCTTTTTTTGGGTTTTTGTCCGAAAAATTGGGAAACTTGAAAAAAGAAAAGAAATTGATTATGGAACGTTTTATTTTAACAGGATGATATAAAATATTTTAAGACCAGGTGTTCAAATGTTTTCCAAATCATTTCTAAAAAATAGGTATGGTATCAGACTGATCTAATTTCTGTGCACTGAGGACGAGCAAGTCCTAGGTTACAAACTGTACTCTCCAATGCAAGAACAAGATGCGTTTCTTCCTTTAAGAGGTGCTGTTGTCACAAGAAAAGGAAAAGGGTTCAGTTTTGTTTTTGCATGTGGGTGGGTATTCTGTTTGTAATAATTGTTTGGATACATTATATTTTTAATATGCTTTGTTGCCCGACTCTTTGCGACCCCATGGACCAGATCACGCCAGACCTTCCTGTCTTCCTGCTGTCCTCTGTAGTTGACTCAATTTCCTATTCGTTGCATCTATGACACTGTCCAACCATCTCATCCTTTGCCGTCCCCGTCTTCTTTGACCTTCAGTCTTTCCCAGCATCAGGGTCTTCTCCAGGGAGTGCTCCCTTCTCATTGGGTGGCCAAAGTAGTTGAGCTTCAGTTTCATTATCTGGCCTTCCAGGGAACAGTCAGGGTTGATTTCTCTTAGAATGGACTGATTTGATCTCTTTGCAGTCCAAAGGACTCTCAAGAGTCTTCTCCAGCACCATAGTTCAAAAGAATCTATTCTTCGGCGCTCGGCCTTCCTTATAGTCCAACTCTCGAAGCCATATGCTAGCTGTGATAATTTCATGCCAAGAAAAAATGTCCATAGTCATATTTTATGATCCGAAAGTAACAGAATGACTTTCATTCTGGAAAAGAAAACAAAAGTTTTCAATTTTTCAAAAAAAATCCATTTTTTCCAGGGGAAAAACGGGTTTTTTTCCGAGCTTCAAAATTTCCGGAAATTTTACATCTCTAGCTGGGTTGCAGACGTCATGCCCCGCCCCTGAAACCTTCCAGCAGCTGCAGAGGAAGCAGAAGTTCAAAGGGTGTAGCCATTCTCCCTCCCCCCACCCCCAAAGGAGGGGAACTGGTGTGGTTGCCAACTGCGAGGAGGAGGAGGAGAAAACTACGCTGTCCTTTTCCTACGGGTTTAATGGAATATTATCTCCCAGGTGGTCTTATGTGGACGGGGTGGGTGTTTGGATGGGAGGCCACCGAGGACGTTCAGGGCTGCCACGCAGAGGCAGGCAATGGCAAATCACCATACCCCAGAGGGTACTACAGTCAAGGTCACAAAACCGATTGGCCCTCCTGGGTCCCAAGGACGGCAGGCTGGTTGCAACCAGGGCCTTCTCGGTGGCGGCTCCACACTGGTGGAATGAGCTCCCGGAGGAGATCAGGGCCCTGCGGGACCTTTTACAGTTTTGCAGGGCCTGCGAGAAGGAGCTCTTCCGCCAGGCCTTCAACTAGGGAGCCTCCACCACTATTAACAACGATAACAGTCTGTAGAGCCTGGTTCCTGCCCAGTTATTGACAGCCTAGGTGCACCGATTATACTGAAGAAGATCAGTTAAGTGGATATCTAAACAGCTATGGAATGTATTCGTACGGAAACTGCCATCGTTATGATATCAAAGAACACAGCTAGCACTTTAATATTTATAATATAGTATTGTTTTAATTGACACTTTTTACGTGTTTTATGAAACCTTGAGTGTTATTATGGATTTTATCTGTGTAAGCCGACCTGAGCCTGCTTTGGCGGGGTATAAGGGGGGAAAATAAAATAATAAAATAAACATTCATCTCTTGCGTTGAAAACCTTATAGGGGCTGCCGTAAATCAGCTGCAATTTATGGTTGCCAACCCCCAGGTGGGACCTGGAGATCTCCAAGAATTACACCTGTTCTCCAGATGATGGAGATCAGTTCCCTTGGAGAAAATTGGCTGCTTTGGAGGGTGAAATCTGTGCCATTGCACTTAGCTGAAGAAGAAGAAGAAGAAAAAGAGATTGGATTTACACCCGGCCATTCACTTGGAGTCTCAGGGCGGCTTACAAACTCCTTTCCCTTCCCCTCCCCACAACAGACACCCTGTGAGGTAGGTGGGCCTGAGAGAGCTCTGACAGAAACTGCTTTTCAAGAACAGCTGTGCCAGGACTATGGCTTGCCCAAGGTCATCCAGCAGATGCAAGTGGAGGAGTGGGGAATCAAACCTGGTTCTCCCAGATTAGAGTCCGCGCACTTAACCACTACACCAAACCACTACTACTACACCAAACCACTACACCAAACTGGAGGAGATGGGATTTATACCCCGCCTTTCACTCAGAGTCTCAGAGCTCCTTTCCCTTCCCCTCCCCACAACAGACACCCTGTGAGGTCGGTGGGGCTGAGAGAGCTCTGACAGAAACTGCTCTTTTTCAAGGAGAGCTCTGACAGAACTATGGCTTGCCCAAGGTCACCCAGCAGGTGCAAGTGGAGGAGTGGGGAATCAAACCCGGTTCTCCCAGATTAAAGTCTGTGCATTTAACCACTACAGGAAGAAGAGGAGGAGGAGGAGATTGGATTTAAATTACCCGAAGGAGGAGTAGGGAATCAAACCTGGCATTCCTCCTATCCTCACAACAACCCCCTGAGGTAGGCAAGGCCAAGAGCCTATGACTGGTCCAAGGTCACCCAGCAAGCTTCCTTGGCGATGTGGGAATTCGAACCTAGGCATCCTGGATCCTATTCTGACACACTAACCACTACAAAAGAAATCTGGACACACACGACCCAATCAGTTAAGCAAGTATAAAGCCAACAGTCGTGATAGTCTGACCCACAATCAAACAGTCATAAGACTTATAAAGAATTATAAAGAATGCTGTTTATGTATTGCAATCTAAAGCACTATAACAAGATACACAACGTCGTCTCCGGATTGCATAACATAAACAGCATTCTTTATAAGTCTTGTAACACTAACCACTACACCATGCTGGCTCAATAAAAATAACTAGATAAAGGACACCATATTTGCCATCCATCGCTTCCTCCCTTCCTTGGGCATTTTAAAAAATTTCAGTCCAATGTAGCCTCGCAGGTTTCCACACGACAGGTCGGCACGCACAGAGCGTATGATTTCCTTTGGCCTGGGACGTGAGCATTCTCGGCTTATAGCACAAACAACCTTGTGAACAGCTGTCGTGAGCACCGGTCAGCCCGCTCCTTTGGGAAGAGGAGCGTCGTCTACCCGGCTCTCGCGCCAGATGCCCTTGAGCCAGCTCCGGCATCCTCCCTCAGTGCCTCTCCTGCTTTCCAGGTTTGGCGCTGCCAGCCGCTCTCCTCGATAATTGTTTCCTGCCGACAACACCTGCTCCCTTTCCAGAGCCCGGGGGACTGAGCAACACCTCCAGCGACGACGACGGGATAATTTGAGCAGAATGGATCCCACGCCCCCGGAGGAATGCTGCTGGAATTATCCCACTACAGAAATGACCCTGGCCATGGGAAAAGCCATGCCGGAGTGGAGCTTTCAGGTGGGTTTTCTGTAGCGGTGTAATGTTTCCTCTACGGGCTGCGGTGGCTCAAGTGGTTAAGACGCTGAACTGCAGGCCGGAAGGTCGGTAGTTCGGCAGTTCAAGACCCGAGTGTGCCGCATGACAGAGTGAACTCCTGTCTCTAGTTCCAGCTCCTGCCAACCTAGCAGTTCGAAAGCAAGAAACTGCAAGTAGATAAATAGGCTGGCTTTCGAGCAAGGGAAACCTTTACCTAACTTTGAGACCAATGAGATTTCAAGGGCATCAGCTTTCAAAATTCGAAGCTCCCTTCGGTGAGGGACAAAGGGAACTTCATTAGGGGACAAAGAGAGCCAGTTTGGTGTAATGGTTAGGAGGGTGGACTCTAACCTGGGAGAACCGGGTTTGATTCCCCACTCCTCCACATGAAGCCAGCTGGGTGATCTTGGGTCAGTGACAAGTTCTCTGGGAGCTGTTCTCTCAAGAGCAGTCCTCGAAAAAGCTCTCTCAACCCCACCTACTTCACAAGGTGCCTGTTGTGGGAAGGAAAAGGAGATTGTGAGCCGCTCTGAGACTCCTTTGGGTAATGAAGGGCAGGGTATAAATCCAATCTCTTCTTCTTTTTCTTCTCTTGAAAGTGTATTCGCTGGAAATCTTGTTAGTCTTCAAAATGCTATTGGTCTCAGATTTTACTTCTCATAGATAAAAAGAGTCATGTTAGATCATGAGGGTCCCCTACTTTTTGACCCGGCGGGCACCTTTGGAATTCCAATAATGTGTACTGGGCGTGGCCACAAAATGGCTGCTGCTGGAGGCGGAGCCATCCACAAAATGGCTGCCGCAGATGACCTTCAGTCATGTAGTGAAGAGCCTCGTGCTGTGGTGGCAGCTGCTGCCAAAACAACTTTTTAAAAAACCTGCACAGCCAATCAAATCAACCATGGCCAATCACAAGCCCTGCTGTGAAAAAGAAGAAGAAAAGATTGGATTTATACCCCCCCCTTCATTACCCAAAGGTGTCTCAGAGCGGCTCACAA